GGGGACAGTGGTGTGGGGACAGTGGGAATGTGGTGGAAACAGTGAGACAGTGGAGGGTACAGTGCTGGTGGGGACAGTGGTGAGGGCGGTGGCGAGGACGGCGGTGGGACAATGGGACAGAGGTAGTGGGGACAGTGGCGGGGACAGTGTGGACAGCGGTGGGGACAGTGGGACAGCTCAGTGGGACAGCGGCGGGGACAGTGGGACAGTGGGGACAGTGCGACAGTGGTTGGGGCCGTGGAGAAAGTGGGGGGAGTGGAACCGTGGTGGGAACAGTAGTGGGGACACTGGGGGCAGTGCGACAGCGGTGGAGGCGGCACTGGTGGGGATAGTGGGGACGGTGGTTGGAACAGCGGGGACAGCGGTGGTGAGGGCAGTGGTGCTGGGGACAGCAGTAATGTGGTGCGGACGGTGGTAGGGACCCGGGAGCGGTGGCAGTGAGGGGGCGGTTCGAACTGGAGGGGTGGAGGGGGGGATGGAGGGGTTGGTAGTGACGGTGGGTGTAGGAACAGAGAACCGGTAGCGACCCCCCCCAGTTTGCGGGGGGGGGTGAGATTTTCGGAGGGGGGGGGCGGGACCCCCGGGCTCCGGAGGAAGGGGGGGGGGAATTTTCTACAGTAATGCGGCGGTGGGTCACGCTCTCTCGGATATGTTGTTCGACGGCGTCGCCTTCCGCCAGGACTCAGGGGTTTCCTTGATTTTGCGCGACGGCCTCCTTCAGCCCGAATTGGCGCCTCGCAAGAACGAGCAGTCCGGGTCCGTGCTGCAGCGGATGCGCTGGTGAGCTCGATGCACCGTGACTTGCCCAGGCCACGCGCTCGGCGCCTGGTTCTCGGATCTGCCCGCGGGCGCACTGTCGTTCGCGGGCATTCGCGCGTCGAGTTCTTTGGGGGCCCTGCGCCGTTTCTTCGGCCAGGTCGGCGTCAAAGACGCGGCGCGCTATCTCACTCATGACTTGCTGCGAGGTCACGCACTGGACCCCCAGCGAAGGGGAGACACAGGGGGCGAGATCCTACAACTGGGCAAATGTTTTTCGCCCGTCTTCTTGTCGCACTTCGACATGACGCGCATCCGAACTCTGGCCGCGGTCGAGGCGCAAGTGGCCGAGTCTGAGGACTACCATGGATAGACCCAGCCGTCCCAGGCGTCGCGCGCTGCCCTCGTGTCTTCCCTGCCGTCATCGTGCGAGACGTCATCGCGGCGCCGCCGCACGCGTCTCCCGATGTCGCCAGGGGCGCGCGCACCCCGCGCGACGCCGGCGCTGCGCGCCGCCGCGCATCGGCTAGGGGGCCAGGGAAACACGCATCCCTGGCGCCCCGCGCGTCGGCTCAATCTGGCGTTGCCAGGCTGGGTGGCGCGCGGGGCGCCGCGCCCCTTGTTCAAGGGGCGCGGGAGCCTTCGGGCGCGGGAGGCCGCTGGCGCAGCTGAAGCGAGTGGCGGGCGCACAATGCCGCCGAAAGCGCTCGCGCGCAAACTCGAGCTACGCTTTGCGCGGGCACAATTTGCGTTTCGCGCCTGGCCCGCGCGCAGGCGGGCAAGCCGCGCGCGCGGGCCGCCTGCCGCTCTCCTGCTGCTCGCGGCGCGCGGTTTCACTAGAAGTGTTCGCTCGCGCGCGGCGCCGCATCGCGGCACGTGGCCCCACGAGAAGGGCTTGCGCGCGCGGTGCACGCGGCGCGCGCGCGTTTTCGCCGCTTGCCCGTTCGCTTGCATCGCTGAGCGCACTCCGCGCAGGCGCGCCGCGGGGATCCCGCCTGTGCGGGCCGCGCCGCGCCTCGGGGCCGCACGCTTTGCATGCATTGGCGCATGCGCCCTTCCGACGCGGATAGCGCGCGCGATTTCGCTCCGCCCTCCCGCTCCTGGGGTTACTTCATGCCTGGCCTCGCGCGTCGGCTCAGTCTGGCACCGCCAGCCTGAACGGCGCGGTGGGTGCCGCATCCCTTGTCAAAGGGGCGCGGGCGCCATCGATTGCGGGAGGCCGCTGGCGCAGTTGAAATCGGCGCCCCCCCTTCCAAGAAGCGACCCCCGACAAGCCCGCCTGCCACCCCCACGGATAACCTTGATTAGTCGGTTGCGCAGGTCCGAATGAGGGTTCGCATCGTTGGTGCGCGCACCTAAAGCGAAGGGGAGGAGGGGGAGGAGGAGGAGGAGGAGGAGGAGGAGGAGGAGGAGGAGGACGAGGAGGTCCGCCCGTTCGCGTACTTGAGAGCCTTCCCGCCCGCCCGACCCACCGGTCAGAGTCCGCTTGCCCGACCCGCCCAATAGGATGCGCCCGCCCGACCTGCCCGTCAGGGTCCGCCCGTTCGCGTACTTGAGGGTTCGCATCGTGGGTCCGAATGAGGGCCGCCTAAAGCGAAACGGTTTGGTTATCGGCCGGCACCTAACTCCCCCCCCCCGCCGGATAACCCAGGATATCGTTGAGGGGCAAACAGTTGTCTCATACAAGTTTGAAAAGTCCGCGCGGCTATCATCTTGGATCGGCACTGCGGCAAGGGAGGCACAATCACCCCCGATCCCCCCTCGCGGGTGCATGCTGAGCAGCGCCGCGCGTTCACTGAGCATCCCCATCCTGTTCGATTCCTTCCCCGGTCGCGCTTGCTGGAGGGGGGTCGCTTGCAGGGGGGCTCGTTGTGCGAGTGGTTCTCCCGCCCGCAACTGGAGCCCACCCACCCCTGGCGCGCGACGCGCGCCAGGGGTGGCGCCATCGGCGCCTGCAGGAGGAAGTCCAGCGCCGAACCCTGGAGTCCGCACAGGCCTCTCACTGTCCACCACGAAACTAGATTTACGTCGGGCGTGTCCTTCTACAGGCGGAATGTTCAAACATAGTCAAAAACAGAGTTGGATGTTTGTATGATGTTTGTTTGTTGCATTTGTGGGTAAAAAAAGCATTGCGTGGAGCTCCCCATATGTTCATCGATTCGCATGGACCTGTCCGCCGTGAATGTCTAGGCGCAAAAGCTTTCGAATATAAGCGGGCTTCAGTTGTGACGGTCTGGTCATGAATCTATATGAGAATGAATTGGAGTGTGAATGAGCCGCAGTAGTACGAGCGCGTCTCTGCGCATGAGCCTGGGTCCTCCTGGGGCCTCCTGGGGCCTCCTGGAACCTACTGGGGCTGCCTGGGGCCTCTGGAAGCGCACATAAGAAGCGCCACATCGGACCAATCCGGCGTTTTTTGTTGAAAAAGGGGCACGTGACTCTCAAGACGAATTCGGGAGAGAGGGGGGGAGAGTAGTGCTCGTGTGGTGTAGTTGTCACGCCAGGTCCGCTGGCGCCATGTCTCATCCGTTCGCCGTGTTCACGCCGCCGTCGCGTCGGAGACGGCGCCGCGTCGTCGTCGTCGTCGTCGTTGCCGTCGCCGTCAGACTATTCCCGATGCCAGGACAACGCTTTGATATGATAAGCCCTGTGGCCCCCGAGCGGCGCGTCTGCAACCCGCCCCCCAATCCCCTTGATGTTGATTATTACGGCGGGCGCGTTCGTTAAGGAGTGTGCCCAGGAGGCTTCAGACTCTGGAGAGTTCCTTATCTGATGAGGGCGACGGTGACATGCACGGCCAATCCACGATTGCCGTTCCACGGGCTTCCAGACATTGGATTCTTCGTCCAATCGTTCTTTATCAAATGACCTCACCGTGTTCCCCCTCCCTCCTCCACCCCTCTCACCTCATCCTCCTCCTCAGCATTCGTCCCCCTCCCCTTTTCTGGCTGAGCTCACCTTCCGCCACGGCTCGGTCGTTCGGCGATAGTCCGTAGTGGTCACTGCGGAGGCTTACTCTGAAGCGCGCCTCCTCCTCCCCCCTCCCAGCAGGATGTCATCACGATCCTGGCCCTGTACGAATACCGGTTGTCCATGGAGGCGAATTGGCTGGTCGCGTCGGCGGTCGTTCTGGCACGACTGCCCGCGGACCTGGTCGGCCCGCCTATTTGACCCCCACCCCACCCACCCCCATGCTGGTGGAGGAGGAGGAGGAGGAGGAGAAGGACGAGAGGGACCCAGACCCCTTCGCGAGAGGAGGGCGAGGAGGAAGAGGAGGAAGGGCTCTACATAGGGGCAGCGTGTTGCACTTGCGGCGCGGCCAGCAGATCGAAGAAGCAGGACGAATACGTGGCCCGCGTGCCCATGGGAAGAGGGCCAGTCGAGACAACGACGGCCCTCCCTGTCGTTCGTCGCCCTTTCTCTTCCTCCCGGGGCCTCCTCGCCGCCACGGCTGGGTCTGTCTCGAAGGCTGGGTCAGGACGGACCTCGAGGGATCCGGTGGGTGGTAAAGGGGGGGGGGGCATGAACGGGGAGTGAGGAGAAGGGCCCCAAAGGGGCATTTTAGGGCCCCTCTTGGAGCCAGCAAGGGTCCCAAAGGGCCCCTTTTATGGCCCACTTCTTCACCCCCTGTGCAGGTCACCCCCCATTGCCACCCGCTCGAGCAGGTCTGGGGACAGATTTTCAGCGAGTTTGGTCAGGGCGGGAAGGCCTCCGTTGTCACAGTGGGTCCTCTTCCGGATGCCCGTGGCAGGTACATTCCCGCAGTGTGGTGGGGCGAACATTACGGTTGATGGAACGTTCTACAAAGGGCCTCGCCTTCCAGGACAGAAGGAGTTTCCATCTCTTCCTCGTCGGAAGGCCGGCGGAAGGCGGGCAGAAGTAAAACGAGGCCGCCTCCGCCGGCGGAAGTCGGCCGAAGGTTGGCAGATGGCGGCGGACGTAAAAGATGCACCCTCAAGAAATGAACACGTGCTTGGGTTCAGTGTTTCCGGAGTCCGCCTCAAATTGGCATACAACGTTGAGTCTCCACCACGTCAATTTGAAGACATCGTGTATCGCACATTCCTTTGAGATCCCAGTGAAGAGTTCAAAGGATCTGTTGCATCTGGGCGCAACGGTCGGGGATGGATGAGAGAGGCAATCCAGTCATCAATTCTTTGAAAATTGTCGAGGGCAGCGGTTCTCAGAGAGCGGAAAAGGCAGCGATCTTCTGGCAGCTCTTCACCGTCTGACTCGTCCTTTGCAGCCATCTCGGCTCTGCAGCCTTGCATGCGCGGTGTGCCGCGAGGCTGCGCTGTAGTGAATCGCAGGTCCATGGCGTTGGTTTCTATCAAAATTTAAGCCATGGCATTCCCATCTGGCAGTCCACTATGCGTGCTCGCGCTGGTCCTTTGTAGCAGATTCGCCCGCTCTGGGGCGCAGTACATTGACGGTCCTGGGGTGGGCAACCTGGCTTGGAACGGACACTGCACAACGAATGTGTACAACTTGGAGGACGCCGAGGCGATCTGCGACAGCAGCCTGGCCTGCACAGTAATTCATTCGTTCGATTGTCAGGATTGGTTTTGGCGACCATGTTGGAGCACGCTGTGGGAGATTGTCGCTTCTAGCTCTGACACTTTGGCTTGTACCAGAACTTTACTTTCGACTACCACCGTCACCACATCAACGTTGACTGTAACACCAGTCGGGGATTTCTTATATGTGGATGGCCCGCGTGTTAGCAATGCTGCGTGGTCTGGACGATGCGGTGCGACTCCCTCCACCTTGGAAGGCGCAATCGCTAGCTGCAACGATGACCCAGATTGTGTGTCCCTCCACTCTTACGATTGCCACCCCTGGTTCTGGCGCACTTGTAGCGGAACGGTTGACGATATGTCTGCTGTGGGCGGGGACACTCTCGCTTGCACGAAGGACAAGCTCCTTTCCACCACTACACTTAGTTCGACGACCACCATGACGCGGACTGTCACATCATCGACGGCAACTCTGGTGCGTGCGATTCAGAAAGTTAACGGAACAAAACGATTGTTCAAAACGACGGGCCGAACATAATTACCTTCGAAGGAAAGATAACTGTCATACAATCTGTTCTGGAAAAAGCAATGCCAACGCGGGCGCCGCAAGCAGCGACTCTACGCAACCGATTGGGCGCAAGCTATGGGGTGCAACGTGCAACTCGTATCAAGGGATCGAGCGGTGCGATCTGTGGGACTCACTGTATCAAGGGAGGAAAAACCGCCCAGGCCCTGACAATCGGCGTGCACTGAACGGCCCTGGACGTTTACCAGACAGCCCTGCCCTGGTCGAGTCCTGCCTTGGGGGCGTTTGCTAAACGGCTTCGCTTGTCGGGGTGATTTTTACGGAGGTGGATTTTCTTCAGGAGCGAAAAAACACACACAACTAACCGTCGATCCCAGGGTAAATGTAGAAAAATATGGGAAGTGGGGGGGAGACAAAAACCCAGAAAGTATTGGAACAGATGGGGAATCCTGTTATTTGTGTGTGTATTTATTTGTGTGTCCCAGGGCCCCACCGTATGCGGTGCAGTCTACGGGTTGCGTGCCGCGGAGCCCGCACCCTCTGAGGGTGCCCTGTCTCAGCGTGCCGGCGTTCCCAGGACCCCGCAGGGCCCCCCAGGCGCCGCAAGCTGGCGGCGCCGCGGGGGGCCCGCGGGGGGCGCGAGGTCTGGAGAGTGCCAGGGGCTCCGCGCAGCGGCGTCGTCGTGGTCGTCGGCGTTGTCGTCGTCGTCTTCGTCGTCGTCGTGGTCGTCGCCGTTGTCGTCGTCGTTGTGTTTGGCAGTTGTTGTCGTCGTCGTCGTGGGAGGATGAGGAGGAGGAGGAGGCGGAGGAGGAGGAGGCGTGGAGGGTGACGTGTGAGGAATACTTTGGGCCTGGCTTGGCGCGCGGCGGCGGTGCAGAGTGCGGCCCCGGGTCCAGATCCTTGGGGCACAAGCGAGCGCCTCATCAGTGCAAGAGCTGTTCAGGGATGGGGGGGGAACATGCGAGGGCGACGGCGTAGTTCCGAAAGGCCACGGTCTGGAAGCAAGCGCGTGCAGCTGGAAGCTAAGCCGCATCTCAAGACAAATGGTGCGCATGTGCAATTAGGAAGGGTGTCACTGGGAGCCCGATGTGTGACATGCACAGAAGCAAATGCGGACGCGCAGTTTGATCTGGAGTTGGGGCAAGATCTAGAACCGCGAAGAAGCGAACTAAATTGAGTTGGAAAAGGTTATGCCCGATCTTCTAGACCCAACTCATTGACTCAGACGTTGGCATGCTGATGCCTAAGTGTTCCACATATTTCTCCACCGAGTTGTCGCTTGGTCCATTATGCCTTTCCGACGCTCCGTGTACACGAGCCGTTCGCCATACGAGAGTCAAACACGTTGTCTTCTCTGGTGAAAGCAGGGTCTCAGTGGGTTGGGCTGTCAGGCAGTGTTCAGTTTCGCATGGGAGGGAAAACGAGCAAGGCGCAGGCTCACAAGCGCGGAGAGGGGGCTCCCCCCCCCCTAGGGCCCGCTGTTGCCGGCATGTTTCCTACAGTCGGGCCGCTGAAGAAGGAACCCATTTAGTTTGGGAGGGGATCCGTGTTCCTTAGTTGTTTTACAGCGCTCCTTGGATTTTCCCCCAGTTTTCCATGGAAATTCGGAGTTTACCTTATGGGAAAAAGGGGCCTCGTTCCTTATTTATCGTTCCTTCGGTCAACGCCCCGACTGTATCATGTTGCCACGTCGCTGAATCGCGTAACCTCCGATCTCGGGCCCCGCAGTCCCCCCTCCTCTCACAAGCCGCCCACTGTGATTCTACACTGTTCTATATCGCCCCATCTCACCCCATACTTCGCCATGCCATCAGAGTCCATCCCGCGTGGTCTCAGCCAGTGTGTTTTCGCATTCGCGCGAATGCTGCATTCGCGCGACTGCTTGTTCTCGGACGTGTGTATCTCGATATGCGCAAACGTACGAGTGTACACATGATCATGTGGACTAGGTGAAGTTCTGCATGCGTGCGTATTTACTGTACGTATGCGTTCATACGTCCCTATCTGTATCTACACGCTGGATACTGCCAACAAGCAACTGATTATCCAGATGGATGTGGGTAAGGTGTAGCGCCTGGTTGACAAGATGACTGTACTCACACTTCACTCTCAGATGCATTCATCGTGTGGCGCATGTGTTATTTCATGCTTCATCGTGTGGCGCATGTGTTATTTCAGAGTGTTGCCCCACGTGCGCCACGGGGTATCACGTCTGTTGAATACTCAACACATGTTTGGCCATTCAACGCCCCTCCTGCCGTGTTGGCCATGCCTTCGCGACCAAACGTTGGGCCAAAGCGTGGCCAAGCTCATGAATTGCGTTCTGCCAGCCGTCGTGTAAACAATTGGGGAAACGTTTGAGGGCTAGGTCTTTGTTGTTCGTTTGATTGAATGTGGTGGCCCAGGTGCCCACAGGTCACCTTTGAAGTCCTTGGCTCTGACTGGAGGGCCTCGAGGGCAAATTTGGGTGGGACTTGGAACCTCTTGAATACGTTCTGAATCATATTGGGGGGGGGCGTCTCAGGGCATATGGGCGGCCTCGTTGTCCCCGCTTGGGCCGTCTTGGGGGGCATCTTTCAGTGAAACCTCTTGGGCCGTCTTGGTTGGTTGGTCGCCTAGTGGGTAGATCCGGGAATCATTGAAGCCATCTGGGGCCGTCGGCTGGGGAGGCGGATCTTGCCGGCAATCACATCACAGAAATTTTGTCCATCCCTCTTTTGGTCTGGGTCCTCGTCTTGCAAGGAGCAGTTGCTGCTCGCCTCACCCCTTCTCCCGCCTTCTCCTTTATCCCTATTCTTCTTGTCCCGTCCCTCCTTCGGTTGGACCATCGCTCTGCGTATAGAGCACATTGTATCCGTTGCTCACCTCGTCCTCCCCCCCACACCTTCTCTCGTCACCTTCGTCCTCATTTCTTATCCTTCGCTCCTCCCCTCTTCGACCACTCCTGCCCGCCCCGCGTGGCGCTGCCAAGTGCGCAGGACGAGGAGGAGGAGGAGGAGGAGGAGGAGGAGGAGGAAGAGGAGACGGGAAGAGCAGAGCGGAGCGTCACCAGATGCAAGAATTTGGGGTGTTGTGCGGCATTGGACGCGCGCGCGCGTGTTGCGATCCACGCAGATGCACCGCGCGGTGAGATGAGCATGCGGACTTTGAAGGGTGTCGTTACACCTCAGCGGGTCCTGGAAACGACAGGCCCGTTTTTTCCAGTTCCGTTTTGCCGTTTTTGTGCGGGTTCCGTCGCCGATTTTTTACCGGTTCCATCGCCGTTGTTTTTCCGGTTCCGGCTCCGGTTCCAATCCTTCTGGAGCCGTTTTGTTTCCGGTCGCCGTTTTTTTGCCGCTTTCATTTTCGAGATGCTCACGGAAACGGTGAAAAAACAGGGCCCTGCCGTTTCCGGGGTCCAACAAATACAATGCAGCAGAGGCAATAACCATGGATCGTGTGGCTGGTCGGAGTTCGTCCTGTGCGCGTGTGTGGTCTTCCTTTTGTATGTCTTACGCATGGGCCCATTTGGAAGTGATCTCCTGAGACAAGCGAGCGAGCGCGCATACTGACCTGTAACAAGGATGAGGGGATGCAATGCCAAATTAGCCCGGGATTGTTTTACTTAATCGTTTCGTTCATTCCGCTTGCCCCTATTGTTTGACGACTCTCGGTTCCCGGTGTGTTCGTTGTCATTGGTGTTGTTCAGCGGCGGTTGTTCTTTGACGCGGTGCGTGGGGAGCGTTCGAGCTGAAGCAGGTGCTGTTGAGTTGCCTCTGGAGGGGTTGGTGCGGGCAGGTGTTTAGTTTGGGTTGGTGTGTGGAATGTCCTCTGTGGATTCTCGGTTCGGGGGCACTCTGAAGATTTGAGTCTTTCGGTGCAAGCTGTGTCTCCTGCTATCGGGTGGGATGCCTCTCGGGAGCCTCTCGGCCGTATTTTCGAGACCCCCTGGGGCCTCACTGGGGGCCTCTTGGGGCCTCTTAGGGGCCTCTTAGGGGCCTCTTAGGGAGCCGCCTGGAGCCTCCTCGGGGCCTCTTCGGGCAGAGAGCTTCCTGGGAGCCTCCTTAGGCCGTGCTGGAGCGTCGGGGAGCTGAAGATGCTAAAACACGAAAATCCGGCAAACAAACAATTGACAATCAATGATTTGTGCCTTTTGGGACTCTTTTGGGATGCCTCTTGAGGCGTCCTGGAGGCCTCGTGGTTCGTCTGGCAGCTATCTTGGGCGTCTGGGGGCGATCTTGCGGCGCCTCGGGGCTCTCTTAGACCATCTCGTGCGCATGTGCAATTAGGAAGGGTGTCACTGGGCGCCCGATGTGTGACATGCACGGAAGCAAATGCGGACGCGCAGTTTGATCTGGAGTTGGGGCAAGATCTAGAACCCCGAAGAAGCGAACTAAATTGAGTTGGAAAAGGGTATGCCCGATCTTCTAGACCCAACTCATTGACTCAGACGTTGGCATGCTGATGCCTAAGTGTTCCACCTATTTCTCCACCGGGTTGTCGCTTGGTCCATTATGCCTTTCCGACGCTCCGTGTACAGGAGCCGTTTGCCATACGAGAGTCAAACACGTTGTCTTCTCTGGTGAAAGCAGGGTCTCAGTGGGTTGGGCTGTCAGGCAGTGTTCAGTTTCGCATGGGAGGGAAAACGAGCAAGGCGCAGGCTCACAAGCGCGGAGAGGGGGCTCCCCCCCCCTAGGGCCCGCTGTTGCCGGCATGTTTCCTACAGTCGGGCCGCTGAAGAAGGAACCCAATTAGTTTGGGAGGGGATCCGTGTTCCTTAGTTGTTTTACAGCGCTCCTTGGATTTTCCCCAGGTTTTCCATGGAAATTGGGAGTTTACCTTATGGGGAAAAGGGGCCTCGTTCCTTACTTATCGTTCCTTCGGTCAACGCCCCGACTGTATCATGTTGCCACGTCGCTGAATCGCGTAACCTCCGATCTCGGGCCCCGCAGTCCCCCCTCCTCTCACAAGCCGCCCACTGTGATTCTACACTGTTCTATATCGCCCCATCTCACCCCATACTTCGCCATGCCATCAGAGTCCATCCCGCGTGGTCTCAGCCAGTGTGTTTTCGCATTCGCGCGAATGCTGCATTCGCGCGACTGCTTGTTCTCGGACGTGTGTATCTCGATATGCGCAAACGTACGAGTGTACACATGATCATGTGGACTAGGTGAAGTTCTGCATGCGTGCGTATTTACTGTACGTATGCGTTCATACGTCCCTATATGTATCTACACGCTGGATACTGCCAACAAGCCTTGTTCAACAAGCAACTGATTATCCAGATGGATGTGGGTAAGGTGTAGCGCCTGGTTGACAAGATGACTGTACTCACACTTCACTCTCAGATGCATTCATCGTGTGGCGCATGTGTTATTTCATGCTTCATCGTGTGGCGCATGTGTTATTTCAGAGTGTGCCCCACGTGCGCCACGGGGTATCACGTCTGTTGAATACTCAACACATGTTTGGCCATTCAACGCCCCTCCTGCCGTGTTGGTCATGCCTTCCAGCCGTCGTGTAAACAATTGGGGAAACGTTTGAAGGCTAGGTCTTTGTTGCTCGTTTGATTGAATGTGGTGGCCCAGGTGCCCACAGGTCACCTTTGAGGTCCTTGGCTCTGACTGGAGGGCCTCGAGGGCAAATTTGGGTGGGACTTGGAACCTCTTGAATACGTTCTGAATCATATTGGGGGGGGGGCGTCTCAGGGCATATGGGCGGCCTCGTTGTCCCCGCTTGGGCTGTCTTGGGGGGCATCTTTCAGTGAAACCTCTTGGGCCGTCTTGGTTGGTTGGTCGCCTAGTGGGTAGATCCGGGCATCATTGAAGCCATCTGGGGCCGTCGGCTGGGGAGGCGGATCTTGCCGGCAATCACATCACAGAAATTTTGTCCATCCCTCTTTTGGTCTGGGTCCTCGTCTTGCAAGGAGCAGTTGCTGCTCGCCTCACCCCTTCTCCCGCCTTGTCCTTTATCCCTATTCTTCTTGTCCCGTCTCTCCTTCGGTTGGACCGTCGCTCTGCGTATAGAGCACATTGTATCCGTTGCTCACCTCGTCTTCCCCCCCACACCTTCTCTCGTCACCTTCGTCCTCATTTCTTATCCTTCGCTCCTCCCCTCTTCGACCACTCCTGCCCGCCCCGCGTGGCGCTGCCAAGTGCGCAGGACGAGGAGGAGGAGGAGGAGGAGGAGGAGGAGGAGGAAGAGGAGACGGGAAGAGCAGAGCGGAGCGTCACCAGATGCAAGAATTTGGGGTGTTGTGCGGCATTGGACGCGCGCGCGCGTGTTGCGATCCACGCAGATGCACCGCGCAGTGAGATGAGCATGCGGACTTTGAAGGGTGTCGTTACACCTCAGCGGGTCCTGGAAACGACAGGCCCGTTTTTTCCAGTTCCGTTTTGCCGTTTTTGTGCGGGTTCCGTCGCCGATTTTTTACCGGTTCCATCGCCGTCTTTTTTTTTCCGGTTCCGGCTCCGGTTCCAATCCTTGTGGAGCCGTTTTGTTTCCGGTCGCCGTTTTTTTGCCGCTTTCATTTTCGAGATGCTCACGGAAACGGTGAAAAAACAGGGCCCTGCCGTTTCCGGGGTCCAACAAATACAATGCAGCAGAGGCAATAACCATGGATCGTGTGGCTGGTCGGATTTCGTCCTGTGCGCGTGTGTGGTCTTCCTTTTGTATGTCTTACGCATGGGCCCATTTGGAAGTGATCTCCTGAGACAAGCGAGCGAGCGCGCATACTGACCTGTAACAAGGATGAGGGGATGCAATGCCAAATTAGCCCGGGATTGTTTTACTTAATCGTTTCGTTCATTCCGCTTGCCCCTATTGTTTGACGACTCTCGGTTCCCGGTGTGTTCGTTGTCATTGGTGTTGTTCAGCGGCGGTTGTTCTTTGACGCGGTGCGTGGGGAGCGTTCGAGCTGAAGCAGGTGCTGTTGAGTTGCCTCTGGAGGGGTTGGTGCGGGCAGGTGTTTAGTTTGGGTTGGTGTGTGGAATGTCCTCTGTGGATTCTCGGTTCGGGGGCACTCTGAAGATTTGAGTCTTTCGGTGCAAGCTGTGTCTCCTGCTATCGGGTGGGATGCCTCTCGGGAGCCTCTCGGCCGTATTTTCGAGACCCCCTGGGGCCTCACTGGGGGCCTCTTGGGGCCTCTTAGGGGCCTCTTAGGGAGCCTCTTGGAGCCTCCTCGGGGCCTCTTCGGGCATAGAGCTTCCTGGGGGCCTCCTTAGGCCGTGCTGGAGCGTCGGGGAGCTGAAGATGCTAAAACACGAAAATCCGGCAAACAAACAATTGACAATCAATGATTTGTGCCTCTTGGGACTCTTTTGGGATGCCTCTTGAGGCGTCCTGGAGGCCTCGTGGTTCGTCTGGCAGCTATCTTGGGCGTCTGGGGGCGATCTTGTGGCGCCTCGGGGCTCTCTTAGACCATCTCGATGGCTTCTTGGGGGTGTCTTGGCTCTTGTTGGGGCTCTCTGGGAGGCCCCAGTAGCGGCGCCCATGAGCAAAATCATGTCTGGCGGGACCTTGCCGGGGACCTGCTCGGGGTATTTTTGCCCAGGGACCCCCAGGAGCCGCCCCGCGCGCGCAAATTATATATATATATATATATATATACATGGAAAAATGATTACCTGTTGCCGGAGATTTTAGCACGCCTCTGGCCCGTCGGGCCAGCGAATATGATGTGTGAGATGGACCATCGTACAGAACAGATTTGGAACACAATCGTGACTTGGGGGGAAGGCGCGGATGGTTGAGCCTGGCCCTCTTCTGACCGGAGAACACAGGTAGTTTGCGCTTTGCGGTGTGAGCTACGTAATGTATGTTGCGCCTCATAAATCATGTTGTGCAAGCTCTCACCACCTACCAAACCACCCCAACCCAACCCGAAGGCCCAAATTTATCCTCGATTTCCAGTGGGGGGGGGGTCGGGGAACACTGAAGAAACACATGGAATCCGTACCCCCCCCCCACCCGAAATTCGACTCAAATTCTGGCCTTCGGGTTGGGTTGGGGTGGTCTGGCCCGGGTTTGCCAGGACTCGGGTTCGCCATCGTTTTTGACGACCGCGCCTTGGATTCTGACGAGCAGGAGTTTCGTGGGATGTCTGCAGCGGGAGGCCTCGTCAAAATGCAGGCTCGGCCTCGTCATTTTTTTGACGACCTCGTCGGGGATTTCCGAGTCCCCCGTACCCAGGTCTTACGTCCCCCCGAGTGTAAGCTACGTAGTGTGTGTTACGCCTCATAAATCATGTTGTGCAAGCTCGGCACACGAGGCTCCCACGGGCGCCCCACGAAACGGCAGCGCGGCGCGGCCCCCGCGGACCCTCCCAGCGCACGGGGGCGCCCACGAGCGCCCTCGAGGCCCGCAGCGTGGCGAATCTTCGGTGGGCCCTCCCCGCGCACGGGCTGCCCGCGACGCGCCCACGGGGCGCCCACGGGCGGCAGCGTGGCGAGGCCTCGGCGGACCCTCCCAGCGTTCGGCGCCTGGCGTCAGGCTCCCTGGACGCACCCTCTATGTATATTAGATGCACATGCGGTCTCTCCCCGCCAGGGCTCCGCCAGCTTGCTTTTTCGATTGTCCCACGAGGCATGCTCCCACGGCAGAGTCCACTGCCCTTGCCCTTGCCTTTGTCTGGTCGTGTCCTCGATTTGCTGCGATGACGTACATATTACGAATGGGTCCCCAAGACTTTCTCGGATGCACCCTTGCATGCCCGTTCTGGGGCTGTCTCGGGCTCCCTGGACTGCACGTCGACTCTGCCGCCCTGGGCGCGGCTCCCTCCCCGCCGCCTGATCCGCGGCCCCCGCGCGCGCTCGGCAATTTAGTCGCGGCCGTAGCCCGCCCGCGACCTCCCGCCGCTGGCGCTTCCGCCTGCGGCTGTAAAAAATAAAGACCCTCCCAGCGCACGGGCCGCCCACGAGGCGCCCACCGGCGGCCAAAGCGGCGCAATGTCGGCGGACCCATCCAGCTCTTCAGGGCGACAGTCAAGAACACGTACGTGCAAGCACTGGTTGGGGAATCTCTTACGCAGGAGAGGTAGGAGCCCCGAAGTACCAGCACTGCTGGGTGACTGTCCACATGCGTATCTGCACAGATGTACGTACATAGGTATCCGTACCTGTATATCCAACACCAGGTCGCACACTTGTTCAAGTATACGAGTTTACTTTCAGCCAACAAAACTCGAAGTTGCCTGCAGGTGTACGTCGACGGACCTCGCGTAGGCAACGGAGTATTTGCGGACTACTGCAGCAGCGAATTCGGGACGCTAGGCGAGGCCGAGGCAGCCTGCTCGGCGGATCCCGCCTGCAGCGTGCTGCACTCCTTCGACTGCCTGGACCGGCTCTGTCCCTCTTGCCCGAGTCTCCCAGGGGTCGAATGGTCGTTTGGCGATGTTGTCGGCCCTTGTCTTTTCGATTTCGTTTTGCAGCAAAGGTGGATTGAAGACAAAACGAGAGAAAACGAAAACAAAACGAAGACGAAAAACATTGGACATGTCGATCCTTACCCGGACCTCCTTCTTCCACTGCCCCCTAGGGTTTTACGATATTGTTTCACCAGGCGATCGATATGTTTACAGTGGGGGCCCAGGCCAAGATTTATCCAGGTTGCCTCCAGGGTGCCTTGGGTTTCTTGGGTTTCGATGGTTCTGCTATGGAAAGCGTGACGTTCCCACACAAAAGATCCATGGACGTCCTGGGGTCTCGGGGTTGGGTTTCTTGTGGAAGGTTTCGTGTGGACTGGCCTCCACTGTATGCATTCCGAGCTCTGATTCGGCTCCAAGGACTGGGCTTGGCGTCATTGCACTGGGAATTTCGCGACCATGCTGGCGGCAGGTGGAGGGACGGGGGCCTGCACTCGAATCCACAGAGACCTCGTCACGACCACAGAGACCTCTACCGCAACCACGTCGATTGTTTACTTGGAGGGCCCTAGGCTTGGCAACAACGCTTGTAGCACAGGCTGCAGCGGCGTATTCAACAGCATGGAGAAAGCACGGTTGGCGTGCCGCGATGATGTGGCGTGCACCGGCGTCTTGTTTTCGTACAGTTGTCAAGATTGGGCGTGGCTCTATGCCACCAGGAGCATCACTGAGATGATGTCAGACAGTCCTGGTTCGACCTCCTGCACGATGGTATCGGAGCAGGTCCTGAATGCGATCTCAACCACCACTCAGTCGAGTTCGTCGACCAGCAGTTCCTTGACGCTCACACTCACCTCCACGACTTCCATCACCACAACACGCACATCTAAGACAGCGAGCTCTACCACGTCCACAACGTATAGCTTCAGTTCAACGGTCACAAGCTCCACGTCGAGCAGCACCACAACAAGTTCTTCCACCGCTAGCACTACAACTCGCACGTCTGAGACGGCCACCTCATCTATCAGCGCGACTGAGAGTCTTAGCAGCACAACGGCGACTATCTCGAGCACGATCTCGACTACCAGCGACACAAGTAAAAGCATGACCAGTACTACACGCACGACAGCTAGCAGCACAAGCAGCATAACCTCGACAAGCTCTCTCACGATCTCGACTACCAGTGCCACGAGTAGTGGCACGACCAGCACTACACATACGACTTCTAGCGGCACAAGTAGCACAGTATCGACAACTTCCAGTGTAACATCGGTTGTTACTTCGACAAGTAGTAGCACGACTAGCGCTACCCGCACCACTGCTAGCGGCACAAGCACCATCACGGTGACATTGTCCAGCGTGACATCAACAACAAGAACCACAGGCAGTAGCACGGAAAGCTCGACCCAATCGACTTCTAGCGGGACCAGCATCACAACAGGGACAACATCCAGCGCGACGTCGATCACCAGAACCACAGGCAGTAGCACGACAAGCTCTACCCAAACGACTTCTACCAGGACCAGCACTACCACAGGGACAATATCCAGTACGAAATCGCTTACTTCGGCAACATATAGTAGCACGTCCAGTGATACCCGCACAACTGCCAGCGGCACAAGCAGGACCACAGCGTCGATCTCCAGCACGACTTCGATCTCCAGCTCCACCCGCAGCAGCACTGTCAGCACCAGCAGCGTGAGCACTTTGACGCAAACAAGCACCAGCGAGACAACGGGCTCGACCACCACGACTGCTACAAGCGGTACCACATCGGCTTCCAGTAACAGTCAGACAAGCACCACGTCGGGGACAACCGTCAGCAGCACGCACAGCAGCACAACACTCAGTGACACCAGTGTCACGAGCAGCTCTGCAACCACAGTCACCAGCGAGACGAGCAGCACAAGTGTTACCAGCAGGAGCGATACTAGCTCCACCACCCTGACTCTGACAAGTGGCACCCAGACGTTCACTGTTTCGAGGACCCGCAGCTCTGTCACGAGCACGGCCACCACTTTCAGCACCAGCGCGAGCACTGTGAGCACTTCGGTCAGCTCTCGCACGACAGTCTCCAGCAGCACGAGGAGCCTCACAGCTACAAGCGCCAGCGAAACCACCGACTCCACCATGACAAGCACTACCAGAACGATCTTCACAACAGCGACAACGACCACTAGCACATTGACGACTTCCTCGTCGGCTACGAGTGTTACAACTACCGCCACTTTCTCGTCAATGACGACTGCGACAGGCACAACTGCCACACAGACAACGGGCACGGACACGACTGGGACGGGCACCAGCCATTCCAGGACACTCAGCATGACCAGCCGCACCAGCAGCATCACCAAGACAACCATCAGCAGCACCAGCAGGACGACAAGATCAACTGTGACGACGGGCACGACAGGGACCACAAGCACATCGACCACCTTTTCGTCGACAACAACTGCGACAGTTACAACTGCCACGAAGACAACCAGCTCGGACACGACTGCGACGGGCACCAGCCACACCAGCACTCTCAGCACCACCAGCCTCACCAGCAGTAGCACCCAGACAAGCACCAGCAGTACCAGCAGGACAACGAGATCAACTGTGTCGACGGGCACGACGGAGACTACTAGCACATCGGCAACTCTTTCGTCGACAACGACTGCGACAGTTACAACTGCCACGACGACAACGAGTACGGACACAACTGTTACCGCTACCAGCCACACCAGCACCCTCAGCACCACCAGCCGCACCAGTAGTACCACCCAAACTCGCACGACGACCTTCGCGACCACAAGCTGGACCAGCACGCGAGCACCGACCCATACGAGCCACACGAGTACTACATTGACTTGGTCAGTGTCATTGACACGAACGGAGCAGAGTGATTCAACCTCTCTTGATTTCACAGGTTCGTCACTCGCGGGCAGCATGCAGATGTCTGTTCAGAACGCTGCGTCATTCGTCTCGGATCCGCTTGTGAAAGCTGCGCTGGCAAGCTCGATAGCAAGCGTCGCGGGCGTGCAAGCTAGCCAGGTGGTCGTGGAGCTCGACCTGTATCGGCGACTCATGGTAGCGAGGTCCCTCTCCGAGGTAGTGGTGGTCTCGTACACAATTTGGCTCGACGCCTTGGACGAGGTCGCCACTCTTGCCGACGCCCTGCAGAGCGTGAGTTTGGCCGACGTATCGGACGCTCTGCAGCAGGAAATGCAGCAAGCCGGCCTCGGCGATACCTACGGCGCCGTTGAGGTCTCAAGCTTCAGCGCCAGCCAGCCTGGGACGTCATCCACCACATCGGGAGGGGATCTGTCCGCCACATCCAGATGGGGCCTGGCTAGCATACAGGAGCCTGCTCGATCTAGCGACGCCGACAAGGGGACTTCTAAGCAGGTGGAAGAGGCTTCTCAGATGGCCCAGGAGGTTGGTTAGAAGCCGGGCGAGCTTCTATCACCGAGCGCGTTCCACTACTGGCAAAGTGCCTACTCGCCAACGTCCGAAAACAAGCATCTCTGATTCGATGTCTTGTATCGTAGATCCCCAGCGGCGGATCCAGGCCGTTTGCGACTAGTCATTTTGCGAGTAGTGGAACGCGTTCGTCTATTCTTATGAGCCCACGTTCTTCCTTAGAAGCCCCGCCGCCAACTTGGAAGCCTACCTCCTCGTGCCACCCCCTTGGTGGGCGCCGCCCATCGGTTCGATCGGACCGGTCACATGCCAGAAAGTCGACACGGCACGGTGTCTCAACACGGAGCCGTCGGCGATCTGATTCATGGCAAGGCGATTCCAGGCGGCCCTGCAATCCCGCTCGGGGGAAGTCAAGCACGCACAAGGCTTCGACTCGGTCCCAGTCGCGATTCCCCACGACGCATGGCGATCCGATGCGGGCCTCCTCCTCGTCCTGGGCCCTCATTCGCTGCCTCCTAAGTGGGGCCCAGCCATCATCCTGTCAGATTTGTACTTCTCATCGCCGCGCCCAGACGCCAATGATCCCCGTCACTCTTCTGAATGCTGCTGCGAGACACTAGGTGAAGTAGCCTTGCGGTGTATTGAAGAGGCCTACGCCACTCTGCGGACCCCCAAGACGAGCAACGCTGTGACGGATGTTTGAAGGGTGCGGTTGCGTCTGGGTCGAGTTCCAGGGGCTTCTTCGTTGCCTCTTGAGGTTGCTGTGCGGACCCCTTAATGGCTTTTATGCTCATACAGTCGTCTGATCGTAGAGGGGCCAGAAAGAATGGGAATAGGCTTGGGAAAGGCGTTCGTTGATCTATCGTTCTTGAAGCTTTCTGGAGGCCTCTTAGAACCATAGTGAGGCCCTCCTGGTGCCATTTGAGAATTATCCTGGCAAAGCAACCTAACAGCGATGTGTAGGAGCGTATCTGGAAGCATTCCCCTTAAGATTCAGATGAGAATCCAGTTGTAGAATTATGCTGTTCTCGCAGTCGTAGTCGCATTCGCGATGACAGTCGCAGTGGCAACGGCAGTCGCAGTCACAGCCTCAGCCTCAGCCTGCCTCAGCCTCAGCCTCAGCCTGCCTCAGCCTCAGCCTGCCTCAGCCTCAGCCTCAGCCTGCTTCAGCCTCAGCCTCAGTCTGCCTTCAGCCTCGGCCTCAGCCTCAGCCTGCCTCAGCCTCAGCCTGCATCAGCCTCAGCCTCAGCCTCAGCCTGCCTCAGCATCAGCCTGCCTCAGCCTCAGCCTCAGCCTCAGCCTGCCTCTGCCTCAGCCTCAGCCTGCTTCAGCCTCAGCCTCAGTCTGCCTTCAGCCTCGGCCTCAGCCTCAGCCTGCCTCAGCCTCAGCCTGCATCAGCCTCAGCCTCAGCCTCAGCCTGCCTCAGCATCAGCCTGCCTCAGCCTCAGCCTCAGCCTGCCTCTGCCTCAGCCTCAGCCTGCTTCAGCCTCAGCCCCAGTCTGCCTTCAGCCTTGGCCTCAGCCTCAGCCTGCCTCAGCCTCAGCCTGCCTCAGCCTCAGCATCAGCCTGCCTCGGCATTCAAATGTGGCCCGGGAATGGAGTTCTGGGAACTCGAAGAACACGAAGTGGCCTACAATTGGCTCCGGGCATTCAAAATCATGCCCAGGAAGGGAGTTCTGGGAACTCGAAGACCACGAAGTGGCCTACAGTTGGCTCCGGGCATTCAGAATCATGCCTTGGAATGGAGTTCTGGGATCTCGGAGACCACGAAGTGGCCTACAGCTTGCTCCGGGCATTCAAAATCATGCCCAGGAATGGAGTTCTGGGAACTCGAAGAACACGAAGTGGCCTACAGCTTGCTCCAGGCATTCAAAATCATGCCCAGGAATGGAGTTCTGGGAACTCGAAGACCACGAAGTGCGTTACTGTTGGCTAAAAAAAGAGTCCCCGGATCCCGTCCGGATCCCGCCCAGACCCCCTTGGGGAGTCATGATGCTCTCTTTTGACCCCACTAGAAACCTATCAGTCTTCGCTGTTCGGTAAATATCAGAACCCTCGTGAACCATCTTGGGGTCCTCTTGATGCCATTTTGGGGTCTCTTGGAGCTCTCTGGGGGTTTGTCGGGGGCCTACTCGGGCTCACTTCGGGGCATGTTGGGGGGGCATGGGGAACCCTCGTGGGGGGGTGGGAAGAGATCCAGGAGCTCCTTCGAGCTCCCCCTCTGAAGCCCCTCCGGGTGCCTTTGGGGGGATTTCTTGGGTTGCCTAGGAGCCCCCTTGGGCCGTCGGGGGACTCTCTAGGGAGCCTCTCAGGGCGGTCTGGCGGATTGTTGGGCCGTCATTGGCTTTCGGGAATCCGAAATGTCAATGGCACTACAATTTCCCCCAAACGGTTGGGAACTAAATGAATTTTGCTCCTTCTGCTCCGCCTCCTTCTCCTCCTCCTCCTTCTCCTTGGATTTGCTTGCCACTGTCTTCCGCACGAGGGGCAACACTTGCCCTCCCCAGCTGGCGCCAGTAGCAGGAAGTATGTCAATTTGGGATGTACTGTCTTCTCCTCGATTTGAGGACTGGCCTAGTTCGTTTCCCCCTCCTGCTCCTCCTCCTCCTCCTCCTCCTCCTCCTCCACCTCCCCCTGCTCCCTCCTCCTCCACCATCAGCATCAGCATCAGCATCAGCAACAGTATCACCCTCATCATCCTCATCATCATCATCAGTATGGCAACCATCAGCAGCAACATCCTCGTCATCAGCATCATCATCATCATCATCATCATCATCATCATCATCATCAGCAGCAGCAGCAGCAGCAGCATCAGCATCAGCATCAGCATCATCAGCATTACCACCGTCAGCATTTAGATGCCCATCACAAGCATAAGCAGCATCATCAGCAGCATCTTCATCAGTGTCACCATCAGCAGCATCATCATCATCGTCACCATCATCCACGTTAGCATCATCAACATCATCACCATGATCAGCATTACCATCGGAACCCCCACCATCACCAAGAATCACCATCAGTCGCATCAATGTCGGTACACCCCCTCACACGTTTCGAGGCCCCATAGGGAGCTCGACCGAAGGCTCCAATGGTGGTGTTCGCATGCGTGTCCCCCCACCCAGTACAGCGCTTCGTGGCCCCATCGGGACCTCGACCGAAGGCCCCAGTGGCGGTGCTCGCACGCGTCTTCCCCACTCAGTTCAGTGGTTCGCGGCATCATAGGGAGCTCTACCAAATGCTCCAGTGGCGGTGTTCGCATGCACTTACCCCAGCCAGCACAGCGCTTCGTGGCCCCATAGGGGGCTCCACCGAAGGCCCCATGGGTGGTGTTCCAATGCGCCCCGTCCCCCCCCACCCACTACAGCGCTTCGTGGCCCTATAGGGAGCTCTACCGAAGGCCCCTGTGGTGGTGTTCGCACGAGTTTCCCCCCACCCAGTACAGCGCCTCGCGGCCCAAACACGGAGCTCCACCGAAGGCCTCAACGGCGGTTTCCACATTCGCCTTCCCCACTCAGAACATCGCTGCGTTGCCCCAAAGGAAGCTTCACCGAAGGCCCCAGTGGCGGTGCTCACATGCGCCTCCTCCACCTCTGCAGCGCTTCGTGGCCCCAAAGGGAGCTCCACTGAAAGCCCCAATGGCTGTGTTCGCATGCACCCCCCCGCCCAGTACAGCGCTTCGTGGCCCCATAGGGGGCTCCACCGAAGGCCTCAGTGGCGGTGTTCGCATGCGTCTCTCCCCCACAACACAGCGCTTCGTGACCCCATAGGGAGCTCGACCGAAGGCCCCAGTGGCGGTGTTCGCATGTGTCCACCCCCCACTCAGTTCAGCGCTTCGTTGTTAACATAGGGAGCTCCAGAGATGGTCCCAGTGGCGGTGTCCGCATGCGTCTCCCTCGCCCAGCACAGTACTCCGTGGCCACGTACGGAGCTCCGAGCTCCACCTAAGGCCCCAGTGGCGGTGTTCGCATGCGTCTCCCCCACCAAACACAGCGCTTCGAGGCACCTTAAGGAGCTCCACCGAAGGCCCCCCTTGTGGCGGTATCCGCATGCGTCCCCCCCGCTCCATGTCAGCGCATCCCTCACACGCTTCGTAACCCCTCTATGGAGTGCCACCGAAGGCCCCAGTGGCTGCGCCCGCGCGCGTTCCCGCCCCATGTAGGAACACCCTTTACAGGCTTCGTGGCCCCATAAAGAGATCCACCGAAGGCGAAACCCACTACGGCGATATTCATAACTGCGTATGGTTGGGTTCGCCAGGGTCGTGTTCTGTTTGGGATGTTGGTGTAAATCATGCCGCTGGGTAGTCTCTGCCGCGTTGGCCATGGAGCGCATTGTTTACTCAATAGGTGTTGCGGCCGTCCCCTTTCTTTGCGTTCTCTTCTCGAACAGAAAGCTTTGGAAGCTTCGGAATCCGATGTGTTCTTGCTTTTTGTCAAAAAGCTTTGTCCCCGGAAATCCCGGCGGGCCCCTTCTCCCAGGCCTGGCGTTTCAAATTGACTCGTGTTTTGAAGATCCCAGGGCCCCGCGAGGGCCCCTATAGAGGCCCAAGACTAACAAAAGACCACCCGCCGTGGTTCTTCAATGACGCGATGATGTCTGTGGAGGGTTTGGGGGTGGTGTCTTTTTTATGGAATGTGCAAGGGTGCGGTTCTGATAAGAATGTCGAAGGTCGGGCCAGGCGAAAGGGGGGGGGGATTTGGAAAGAGGGGGTTACGAAATTTGCTGCATGCAGCTGGTTTCGGCCCCGCCGATTGGCGCATTCCTCGATACATAGCCGCCTCCGGCGCCGGGAGGCGCCGGGAAAGTCAGCAACGTGAGCTGATTCTCAAAGTCCCCCCTTTGCCATCCCCTCTTTTCGCCCGACCCGAGAAGGGGATGCAGCCTCGGCCACGAGGGCGCCCCACAGGGGCTCTAAAGCGCCCGGAGGACTCGACCTGCGATCCTCGAGCCTCGGATCTCCTTGGGATCGAGTCGAGCCTCGCCAGGTCCTGCTTGGACCCCTGTGCTCCGCCAATGTGTGTGAGTCGGGCATGTCCCCCTGCAGGAGGAATTCTCAAGAGCAGCAAAACATAGTAGGGGAACGATGTCTTGGCAACGTTTGAATATGTTTGACTATGTTTCATGTTTCTTCCAAAATTCGCCCCGCCCGTAGGAGGACATGCCCGACCCAACTACATGTTCTTCTCAATCCGCGACCCCAGGATGTCCCGACCCCCGTCCCTGGGTGGCGTCTGTCGCCGCAGTCTGTCGTCCCAGCTGCATGTTTGACCCCCCCCTACGCGCTGGAGTGACCCTTCGACGGAGCGACGCTGTGGTGCGGGCTCCCAGGGGCCCCCCCAGCACCGGCCGGCACGCTCGGAATCGGGCCTGTTGCGTTCGCTAGAAGCCGCGCAGCAAGGGCCACTCTTGCCCAGGGTCATCGTCACGTATAGCCTCGGTGGCTCAAAGATGGGGTTCGGAGTGATGGGGTCCTAAGGATAGGAAGGGATCCAAGGGTGGCTCTACGTTGTTGGAGGCAAGTCGCCCTCAGGACCCCATCCCTCAGGGCCCCATCTTTGAACCACCCATAGCCGATTCATGGCCCCAGGGACCCACAGCGGGCCCCGGGGGCCGAGACCAGGGAAGAGCGCCTGGGTTGAAGTATCTTGGCCAAGGGCCCAACCATGCGCAGCTGTGAGTGCCGTCGTTGTGAGTATCGCCTTCGGTGGATGTCCGCATGGGGCCACGAAGCGTGTGGAGGCTGTGCCGACGTGGGGCGGCGGTGCCATGCGGTTGAGCGGTTTGCCGACATGCGGCGGCTGTGCCATGAGAGCCTTCCCACTGGGGCCTCAGGTGGAGCTCCCTGTGGGGCCACGAAATGTGTGTGGGGCGTGCCGACATGAGGCTACGGTGCCACGCGAAGCTTCCCATTGAGGATATTTACGTAGAGCTCCCTATGGGGCCACGAAGCGTGTCAGGGGTGTGCCGAAATGGGGCGGCGGTGCCTTGCGAGCCCTCCCACTAAGCCTTCAGATGGAGCTCCCTATAGGGCCCCGAAACGTGTGAGGGATGTGCCGAGTTGGGGCGGCGGTGCCATGCGAACTCTCCGACTGGGGCATTAGGTGGAGCTCCCTATGGGGCCACGAAGCGTGTCAGGGGTGTGCCGAATTGGGGCGGCGGTGCCATGCGAACTCTCCAACTGGGGCCTTGGTGGAGTTTTCTATGGGGCCTTGGAACGCGTGAGGGGTGTGCCGTAATGGGGCGGCGGTGTCTTGCGAGCCTTCCCGTTGAGGCCTGAGGGGGAGCTCCCTATGGGGCCACGAAACGTGTGAGGGGTGTGCCGACTTGGGGCGGCAATGCCGTGCGAACCTTCCGATTGGGGCCTCAGGTGGAGCTCCCTATGGGGCCACGAAACGTGTGAGGGGTGTGCCGAATTGGGGCGGCGGTGGTGGCGGTGTCATGCGAACCTTCCCACTGGGGCCTCAGATGGATCTCCCTGTGGGACCACGAAATGTGTGTGGGGTGTGCCGACATGAGACGGCGGTTCCATGCGCACCCTCCAACTGGGACCTCAGATAAAGCTCCTTATGGGGCCATGAGACGCGTGAGGGGTGTGCTGACATGGGGCGGCGGTGCCATGCGAGCCTCCCCGCTGGGGCCTCAGGTGGAGCTCCCTATGGAGTGTGCCGACATGGAGGGCAGAGGCAGGGATGGGAGGCGGGAGGATAAGGAGGAGCAGGAGGAGGAGGGGGAGGAGGAGGAGGAGGAGGAGGAGGAGGAGGAGGAGGAGGAGGAGGAGGAGGAGAGGGAGGAGGAGAGGAGAGGAGAGGAGAGAGAGGAGAGGAGAGGAGAGGAGAGGAGAGGAGAGGAGAGGAGAGGAGAGGAGAGGAGAGGAGAGGAGAGGAGAGGAGAGGAGAAGAGAGGAGAGGAGACGAGACGAGAGGAGAGGGGCGTGGGGCGCAGTTTGTTCAAAACGAGGACCCAAGACAACAGGATTGTTGGGGGAAAAACATCGTCCGGTATCTGGGGAGGTCAAACCTACCCCAGGACAGACGTACCCTGAGAGGGGCCTCAGGGCCCACTTCGGGGCGCCCAGCGGCTGCGTCTTGTCGCCCACCGTGGCTAGAACCGTGGCCGGTGCGACTCCTCACGGGCGCTTCGTCGTCTAGGGGGTACGTTTGGCCCTCCCCAAGATCTTGGGAGGTCGGGCTCCTTGCTGGCCTCCTGGAGGAGCCGCTGTCGGGCACGGTGGCGGCCGCGGTGGCCGGCATTTGCCTGGTCGGCTGCTGCGCGGGCAGCGGCCTCGCCCTCGCCCGGCGGTGCCCGAGCCCTGGCCCCTCGCCCTGCCGGCTCTCCCGCCAGCGTCCGGGGCCCCCCCTCCCCCCTCCTCCTCCTCCTCTCCTCCTCTCTCTGCTCCTCCTCCTCCTCCTCCTCCTCCTCCTCCTCCTCTCCTCCTCCTCCTCCTCCTCCCCTCCCCCTCTCCTCCTCCTCCTCCTCCTCCTCCTCCTCCTCCTCCCCCTCCTCCTCCTCCTCCTCCTCCTCCTCCTCCTCCGCCGGCGTCCGGGGCCCCCTTCCCATGCCCCTCCAGCCCCAGACCCCCTCGAGTCATGAAAGCAAGCACGACAAAAGGCTTTCGCGACTTTCGGCCCTAGGGGGCGGTTGCTGGGCCCCGGGGCCGCCAACAACTTTTCAGGATGTTAAACCAGTCCCAGGGGATGGGTCGAGACCTCTGGGGATCGACGCGATGAACAAGTCATGACGTCGGGGGTCGGGGGGTCACCCCCCCTCCCCTCCAAACTCCTGTTCTCTGCCCCTCTGCATATTTCCCCCTCGTACCTCTTTGTCCGTAGCCGCCCCCACCCCTCGCAGTCACTTGCACGTCGCTCACTATCCTCCTTCCTTTCCGTCCTCTGACCCTCCCCCCCTCCGTCCTCCCCTCCCTTCCTCTCTGCCCTCCCCTGGACCCCCGCGCCCCCCCCCCCTCTTTCCAGTCCTTCCTCCGCAGAGTTCCTTTGATTTCCGACGGTATCATAGTTTTTCAGTTGTGCTTTTTTGCTCGATTCCAGCTTCTAGAGCCCGTTATTGAGCCCCTGGGCGAACCGAGCACCCCGATAATAAAGCGCCCCCCCTTCACCCATGAGTGTTGGTAACCCCCTGCTAGCGCAGATTTGGTCGGAGGAGCGGCGGCGAGATCGCAGGGAAAAGTGCGCATCGGAGTTGCTATCCTCTTGTGTTAGATAGCAGCAGTGTCACGAACCTGTGACAGGGCGATGGGACTTTCATCCGTTTCAGGATCTCCAAATCGCGAACCTGTGACAGGGCCATTGGATTCTCACCGTTCAAACTTTCCGAACAACCGAACGTTTGGCAAGTCCATGGGGTTATCACCTTTTTCAGCTTGTCCCAGTCACGAACGTGTGGCAAGGCTGTGGGATTCTCACAGTTCCAGCTTTCCGAAGTCACGAACGTGAGGTAGGGCTACGGGATTCTCACCGTTTCATTCTTCCCAAGGCACAAAGGTGTGGCATGTCCATGGGGTTCTCACCGTTTCAGCATTCCCAAAACACGAACGTGTGGCAGCGTTATAATACGTTCATTACTCCAGTTTTCCCGAGTCACGAAAGTGCGGCAGGGCCATGGGATTCTCACCGTTTCAGCTTTCCCACGTCACGAAAGCATGGCAGGGCGATGGGGTTCTCACCGTTTCAGCAATCCGAACTCACGAACGGGTCCAGGAGGGGGCCTCCAAGGAAAGGGCGAGCTCCAGGCCTCTGACAAGACATGTCGATGTGCTCGGGGCCGGGACTTCCGAGGCCGTAATTTTGCAAGTGAATTCCCAAATCCGCATACGCGAGTTCCGAGGCCCCCGAAGGACGACATCCCACCCCCACCTCCGTGCGCGCGAGTTGCCAGGGCGAGAAATTCATGACCTCCAGGCGGCGGCGGCCTTGCCAAGGAGGTCCAGGCGCTCAAGCAGCAGCGGACAGCCCTCGCAGGCGGCGGTGTCGGGGGCAGGACGAGCACAGTCAAGCCCACGCCGCCAGCGAGGGATGGATCCGACTTGTCCTTCGGGCAGGTGCTCCCCTTCCTGCGCGAGCGAGGGATCGACCCCGCGGCCATCTCGACGGTCGAGCAGGCCAAGATCAAGGAGTACGAGTCGTGGCCGCCCTCGGCCATCGCGGCTCGCCATCGAGTGGAGAATGCGATTCGCAAGGTGGAGCGGCTGGTCAGCCGCGTCGCCGACTGCGAGAAGCAGCAGGATGAGCGCGCCAAGTCCATCGTCGAGACGAACCGGATGCTCGAGGAGGCACGTGCGGAGCTTCAGCAGCACGCGAAGATGCTGCGCAAAGTCAATTTCGCGAGTGTCGACGACCTGTCGATGTGGGGCCGGCATGCTTGGATGAGTCCGTGTCCCAGTCGGAGGAGGGCCGCGCGTTCCTCGACTCGACGTTGCAGCGCTTGCAGGAGCAGGCTCGCGCGGCCCAGCGGGAGGCAGAGCGGACAGCGGCAGCTGGCGATGGCGGCGGCGGTCCTCCTCAGCCTGCAACGCACGGCGGGTCAGGCGGCGCTCCTCGGCAGCAGCCAGACGCAGACAGCGTGCCCGAGGAGGAGGACTGCGACATGGAGTTCCAGCAGGGGCCCAAGCGGTCCATGGAGGGCGAGAACGCGGGGCAAGCTGTCGCCAAGTACCTGGCAG